TATATATATATAAACCTTTCAATAATTCAAATTCCTATAAATGTTATGTCTTATTTCAATTAGTTTCTCAATTAAATTTCCGTAACCCGATGATATTGAATCTTGCTTGAAAAGGAATTTCTACTAAGTTTTAATTTATTAAATCCTATGTTAAAGGTAATAATTCATTCGGTGTTGTATTTTATTTTAAAAAGGGTATTTCCCTTTATTCAAATAATTTCTAAAAATAACTTCATCTTTTCTTGCTGATTTCCTCATTGGTTTAAAAGCAGTAATGTACTTTATGGTATATAAATGAGACTCCTTGAACATCTTAATTGTATTGGTTATGGACGCTATGTACTGAGTAACATGAGGATGACGTTGTGCAAAGTGAGATAGATATATGTGGGCACAAGGTGCTGTGTGTGCTAAAGGTTTGGAAATTGATGTTATGATATGAGACACCGAGGATTGAGATGGTCGGGATTATGTATCAGAAATGATGTGATTGATTGAGTTTGCATCGCCTTCTTTGTTTGAACATATTCTTACTTGTTTGTGTCCCAGTTATGTTGCTGTTAAATTACTTGGTTATCGTTTGTTACTATCTGTGTTTCCCATTATTGTCTCTATTGTTTGTAGTTGTATTTTTTCCCTGCTATTGTTATTACTTTGTTATCTTTATCTTGGTAGTTCATTATCATATCCTGTTCAATTTATTTGACTAGTAGGTGTCTTGACTGTTCCTCGTCACTACCCCACCGAGGTTAGTCTTGATACTTACTAGGAACCGTCGTGGTGTGCTCATACTACACTTCTGTACATTTTTTTTCTACAGACCCAGGTATTTGATCAATAGTAGTTGTGCGGATCATCGCGGTGGAGACTCAAGGTAAACCTGCTGCTGCGTTCGCAGGCCTCAGAGTCACCTTTATTTGCACTTATTTCCATTTGTTCCTTTTGTTCTGGAACAGTGACGTATTTATATTAGATAATTACTCTTAGAAAGACTTATGACTTGTACTACCGGTTTTGGGAATTGTAATTGTTCAGAGTTATATAATTTGAAATTAGCGAATATCAATGTTATTCTATTAATGTTAGGCTTACCTAATTTAGAGACTAGGTGCCACCTTCATAGGGATTTTAGGTCGTGACAAGTTGGTATTAGAGCTCTAGGTTCATAGGTGCTACGAGTCATAAGCAGGTTTAGTAGAGTCTTGCGGATCGGTACGGAGACGTTTGTACTTATCTTCGAGAGGCTATAGAACTATTAGGAAATTCCACCTCTTTCATTCCTTATCATGCGATATTGATTCAGCTCGAAGTATATAATTTATGTTCCTTTACATCCACTCGTGTATGATATTGCGCTCTTAGTGTTCGCTATGCGCCAGTGGTTCGTAATGCTATAGACGGGCTACGAGGGAGTCAGGGATCCTCAGTCATTGTCTTAACGTGATGTCCAGAATGAAGATACATATGTATTGAAAGACTATTCAATTGCTCATATGGAGGTGCAGCGGATTCCGACATCTGATTGATGAGTACGAGCTTGAGGGGAGTTTAATTGGTTGGCTAGTCGTCGAGATTGTGGCAGGGTCACGAGGTTGATGCTGATTGAGGATAATTGGTGGTAGTGGAGCACCTTGTGATTTGTGTTGTACGAGCTGTGAAGGTTAGTTTTGCGGATCATCAGATGATGTTTTCTATGGCTTCACGCCAAGTGGAGGAGTCCACTAGCAGCATTCAGATTGCAGAGTTAGATTTACATCAATTTTGGCCTGAGGCATGTGTATATGTGGTATTGGTAGGTTCCTGGGTTTTGTGTATGACTAAGGTCTGAGATCTTTCACGGGATGATCTTGGGGCATACGGTGTTTCTACGTCATTAATGGGTCTACATTTTAGCATCGAGGGGAGCCGGAGGAACAACTTCTGATTCACAGAAGGTCTATTCAGCGGGGGCATCGTGGTTGCGGTAGAACGGGGTGCTTCAGAAATGCGGTAGTTTATGAGCTTCTGGGCTACGTGGTTCGTGTTTGGATCATCTGTATTTGGGGCATTGATTGACGTTATTGCATATCGACTATTCAAAGAAATGGGTCAGTTCAGTAGTTTTGGGTTAGCACATCAATGGAAGTAATTGGTCATTTTTAATGGGGATTCTCTACCGGCATATATGGCAGTACTCTTGGATTAGATGGTTTGTGTGACTCGGTTGAGTTGGGGGATGCGGTCCTAATGGCTTAGTTTCGTGCGAGCGAATTTCAGAGAGTAATCGATGGTTTTGGCAGCGGCTTGAGTCGGCCGGCTGCTATGGGCATAAAGAATATGTTATACGTTGTGGTTTCCTCCTGAATAGGTATCAGAAATTAATAGGGTGTTGGCATTGTTGACTATCATATATAAAGGGCGCGCATTTCAGGAAGGACTTTGAGTTTGGGGTTGCGGGTGAATGACTAGTGGCATGGTGATTTCTGGGTTTTGAGGCTTTTGAGGTTCAGATTTTGTTGCGCGGCCGAAAATTCTATATGGGTGCTTAGACAGGATGATGGGATGTAAGTGATGTATCATCCATTTGATTTGCATAGTTGAGTTCGGGTATGGAAATTTTAGTGTTTTGGGGCTAGATGTCTCCATATGTAGACTATTTCCTGTTGGTGGATTATGAAGAAGTGTTGATAATGGGATGATCAATAACATGTATTATCGATAGGTTGCTGTGGATCTTTGAAGAAGATTTACCTAATTGGGAAGGATCAGGATTTGGTTTGGACCTATTTGGAAGATCAGTGAGAATATGTATTTTGTATCAGGTCAAGTTTGTGTGCTTCTGTGAGACTGTCATTATGGTTATGTTATCAGGCAGAATGGATATTATTTGTGCCCCTGGCCTAGGTTATGTGCTACTCTTTTATGTTGTGTTAGGCGGTGAGGTTGTATGATTATTTCCCACGCATGTTGCAATTTTGTTCAAGCCTTGTGGAGATGTGGGCGAGATAGTCCTCGTGATGTTGATTTGCTCATTGCACCTTACTCGTGCTTGCTTTCTTTCATGTCTATTTATTTATTTCTATTCATTTTCCCATAGTTATATTGGTGCACTCTGTTGTGCTTGATATCAGTATTTCTATTATTAGTGAACCCGAGCATTTGTCTTGATGAGTATTTGGGAGCAAGCTGCGCGCCGCAGCGGATGTTATGTGGGATACCCCTTTCATTATGTTTATTTGGTGTTCTGTTTTCCCCTTGTGGGACGATTTGATGAAAACTATACTTTTGTTGTTGCACATGTTATACTTGTTAAGTAATTCTTCCACCTTGCTTTCCTTTTATTTGTGCTGCATAATTGAGTTATTGCTGGTTTATTGTACAAACTGTAACGCCTCAAAATTTTAATAATATTTGCATGATATTTTACTTTGCACTTCCTAAACGTGAAACTGACAATATATGAAAATTTCTTACTTTAGGTTGTGTTAATATTGACAAAGAAGCTCCATGGTGTTGCTATGTGTAACACTTAATATTATTTTGATGAATTGTTATTAAATATATTATATAATTAAGTTTTTGGGCTGCCAACCTTTTGTATTTATCTAAAGATATTAGTAAATTGGGCAGCCACATTTTTCATACTTATCCAAAGTTTAGATATTACTTTGGAAGACTTGTCTTTCCATATCCTTCTCTCTTGTTTCATTCTTGCAAGATAAAGAAACAAAACCACCTATCCTCTCTCCTTCTTAGCCTCTGAAAACTTCATGAAACCACCATAAATTTCTACAAAATCAACCAGCAAAATTCATTTTTGGTGAAATCAAGTTGTTCCTCTCTTTTCTGGTAAGTTTCTAAACTCGTTTTTGCACTAGACAACTATTAGTATTTTCTACATATCTTTTTGTAAAGAGTTCCGATTTAAGTGATACAGGACTTTCTGGAAAGCTATTTCATAAATCTATAACTCATTCTCATGAAGGAACCAAAATCTAGTTTTTCTGGTATTTACCCAAAAATGGATCAGAAAGTACAGGGCAGGTGCTGCCCAGATTTTCAGTTTGAAATATTCCATGTACTACTGTTAGTAATTTTTGCATAACTTTCTGTACAAAATAGATATGTGGGTAATTCAAGATGTTCTGAAACTCTAAGACATAGATATACAATTTTTATGAAGACTATACAGTCTAGTTTGTCCGTTTAGATCTTCAAAACTGAGCCACAACACGGAACAGTGATACTGTCCAGAATTTCTGTTTTAAACATTTTTGGGTATTTTTCCCAATTCATGTTTAGTTTGACATGTTAAATCACTGAACTTACCTAGATATTTGATTATGTATTTTAGGTATATAAACCCTTGAAAAATCAAAGGGGAAGTGTTTGAGAAAGTGGACGGATTTGGTTTGTTTACAGCGTAGACGATTCGAATGTCCCCAAGTTTGTGATTGAACTGTTTTGTGGTAAAACACCTTGTACAAACTTTGTACTCTTTTTTCTTGCTGGAATATTTTTAAATAACCCAATATTTATTTTTCTTGTCTTCAATTTATATTGTTATATTCGTATTATATCAAGTATTGTCAGATATTTGGTAAATCGTCCATTCGTACGGATTGTTTGATCATTTTGCATTCTTGTTGGGACTTTGTCCTTCTTGTGGCAGTGACTTTGTCACTCATCTTGGCATGCCTCTTGATTTGGATCTTTTGCCATCTTGACTTTGGATTTGTAGTTCGTCTTAAATTATGGAACTTGTCCGTGTTAAGTACGAACTAGGAAGCCATTTTAATATGATTCTTGATTCTCTTGACTATTGGGTTTTGACCCTACTTGATTTGGGACTTCGGTCCATCTTGATATTTGATTATACTTAGTGTGATGGCATGACGTACATATTGGGCGAAAAATGGATATTTGGTAAACTCTCTTGGATTGATAGTATACGCTTTCTCAACTCTTGAACATTGTTGTTGATATTTGGAAACACTTCAAAGTTTGATATTTGATATGTTTGATATATTTGTTCACTTGTTTTAAATTATGTTAAATTGAGCTAACTATGAGTGAAAAGGGGAATTGGAGAATTTAATGACTCCAAGCCCAAAGTTTATACGCCACTAAGATCTATGCTTAGCGATAGTTATTTTCTATCGTAGGTAATGTACGGGATGAAATCTGAAGACGGCCATTATGAAGTAGTCTTTTGGGAGCACTTATGGAGATCACATTTGCATATGCACCTTGGTTTTGTATAGTTTTGGGACATGTACATTATATATATATATATATATATATATATATATATATATATATATATATATATATATATATATATATATATATATATATCACATTTATGTATGTTATTTGGAGGCTTGATTGATTTTAAGACCAAAATCTTGTAACTTGAATTTGGTAACTTGTTTTGCTATTTTAGGGTGTGTTAATAACTCAGGTCTTGTAATATGTTGAATTTACACTTTGTCGTGTAATATGTACAAAGGAGAAAACTGGTTTCCTTTTTATGAAATTTATGTACAATGCAAACTTGTAGTGATGTTGGATGAAAGTATAAATTTGTTAGGAAGTTGCTTTAATCTGTTGATTGTTCAAGAAGGGTTATATCACCTTATGTGGATATTTTGACATTGTATTTCATTTAAAATACAATTATGAAGTCTATTTTCAAACAAAAATATTGCACTTTGAACCTTTTCGCATGGGCCTATTTTCGCTACTAAATTATTCTGGATATTCTTAACTAATATCTTTTTAATATTTTATAAGTAGTAAATTAGATTTGTTTCCTAAGTAGCACCCTCCCAAAGTTGTTGCTACAAGTTTTGGTATCAGAGTCAGGCTTGTGATTCTAGGATTTTTTGTTGTTGTGATCGTACCTAGTAATTGTTGTTATTTTCTTTCTTGAAAATGCATCGGAGATTATGAATTTTTGCATACTTGTGTAATGTAATTTGTTGTATTACTTGTGCATATGCATCATATACATGTCCCTAATGCAGTGTGATCTTATCTTTTAAAGGAATTTTAACATGGTCTCCTCTTCGAATAGAGCTAGTGAATCCGTTGACGAAAGTCAAGCCCATTATAATGCTCCACCTCACCTTCAGGGAAGAGATGAGTAACCCTTGCCTGACCTAAATCATCCTCGTGTTAGTGAAAATGAGGTGGGCAGTAATCCAAGAGCAATGGGTCATAATACTCCATCTATGACTCCTCCATTTCAGCAGATGGCTGAGTTCTTTCGTCAGTTGGCTGGGACAATGTCAGAACCTAGTGGAATGAATTTTGAGAAGATGAGGAAAATGGGTGGAGTTGAATTTGAAGGCACTACTGATCCCATGGTAGTTGAACAATGGCTCGAGCGCGTGGAGAGGGTCTTTGAACAACAAGAGTGTACTAATGCTGCCAAATTTAAGTATGCTAACTCTCTTTTACAAAAAGATGCCTATGATTGGTGGGTAAGTGTGCCAAATGCAAAAGAAAAACCTCCAGTGCTGACTTGGGATGACTTTGTGAAATCATTGCGTGCAAAATATGTCCCCTTATCTATTGTGATGCTAAAAAGAAAGAGTTTCTGAATTTAAGACAAGGGAGTATATCTATTGCAGAGTATCAACAAAACTTTCTTAGGCTTTCTCGCTATGCTGGAGGTATTATTGATGGTGAAAGAGACAAGTGCAGAAGATTTGAAGAAGGTTTGAATGGTTACATTCGAAAATCTGTGGCAATCTTACAACTTGAGTATTTTTCCAAGCTAATTTCAGTTGCACTTACTTGGGAAAGAATTGACAAGGAAGAAGCTAGTAGGAGAGAAAACAGGTTTAGGAAGGGTGATTCAGATTATGGCGGTCCATCCAAGAAGGGAAAGTTTGACTATTCCAAGACTGAAAGTACACATAAATCATCATATCATAAGCAGAATAAGTCGAATTTTTCTACTGCCAGTACTCCAAGTTATGGCCAAGGCAAAACTCATACACCTACTTGTGCATAGTGCGGGAAAGAATCATTATGGTGCATGTAGACGAGCTTCTGGTGCTTGTCTTAATTGTGGAAGTATGGATCAGAAAGTGAAGGATTGTCCTAATCCTAATCCTCTTTCTTATACACATACCGAAGGCTCAGTTCAAAAGCCTGTCACTACTCATTCTCAAGCCAATAGCGGTGCTAGACCTCAAAATATGCAAGCAGCGGGTTCGAGTGGAGCTAATAAGGCTAGTGGGTCGAGAGCTAATGCACGAGTTTATGCTATGAGACAGAAGAATGACCAGGATGGTTCGGATGTGGTTGTTGGTAAATTTCACTTATTTGGCATATCTGTTGTTACATTATTTGATCCTGGATCTTCGCACTCTTATGTTTGCTCATCACTTGCATTTCCTGATAATGTTAAATCTGCTAGACTTGACTTTGATGTGCTAGTTACGAGTCCATTAGGTCATCAGGATGTTGTTAATAGGATTTACCGAGATTGTCCATTCATGATTCAAAATCTGGTCTTCCCTGCCGACTTGCTTGAAATGCCCTTCCAAGACTATGATGTTATTGTTGGTATGGATTGGCTCCATAAGCACCATGCATTGGTGAATTGTACGTTGAAGCAAGTGACTTTTAGAACTCCTGCATATTCACACATAGTAGTTCAAGGAGAAAGATCATTGATATCTAATATTATTTCTGCGGTATTGGCAAGGAAGATGATTTGTCAAGGTTGTGATGCCTATCTTGCTCATATAGTCGATACACGATTAGGGAGTCCAAGTCTTAAGGACATACCAACCGTGTGCGACTTTCCTGATGTATTTCCTGATGATCTTCCTGGGTTGCCTCCAGAAAGGGAGATTGCATTTCCTATAGATCTTGTCCCTGGAACTATTCCTATTTCTATCGCTCCTTATAGAATGGCTCCAACTGAATTAAAAGAGTTGAAGGCTCAATTTCAAGAACTTCTAGAGAAAGGTTTTATCCGTCCCAGTATTTCGCCTTGGGGAGCTCCTATTTTATTTGTGAAAAAGAAATATGGCACTCTTAGGCTTTGCATTGATTACCGATAGTTGAACAAGGTAACAATCAAGAACAAATACTCACTACCTAGAATCGATGACTTGTTTGACCAATTGAAGGGTGCCAACTTTCTCAAAAATTAACTTGAGGTTTGGATATTACCAATTGCGCGTGAGGGAGCAAGATGTTCCTAAAATTGCTTTTAGGACCAGATATGGCCATTATGAATTTTTGGTAATGCCATTTGGTTTGACAAATGCTCCTGCTGTATTTATGGATCTAATGAACCGTATATTCAAGCCTTATCTTGATCAATTTGTGGTGGTGTTTATTGATGACATTTTAGTCTATTCCAAGGATAGAGAAGATCATGATAAGAATATCCGAATTGTCATGCAAATTCTGAAAGAGAGGCAACTCTACGCGAAGCTTACCAAATGTGAATTTTGGCTGAGTGAAGTGGCTTTTTGGGGGAATATTGTATCACCTGAAGGTGTAAAGGTTGATCCTAGTAAGATTCAAGATATTGTTGATTGGAAACTCCCTAAAACTCCAACTGAGATAAGAAGTTTCTTGGGTTTAGCATGATACTACAGGAGGTTTATGAAGGGCTTCTCTATTATAGCTTCTCCTTTGACCAAACTTTTGGGGAAAGATACCAAGTTTGTATGGGATGACAAGTGTCAAGAGAGCTTTGAAAAGCTCAAATCCTTGTTGACACAAGCTCCAATACTTTCTTTGCCAGCTGAAGGGAAAGATTATATGGTATACAGTGATGCATCTCATCGTGGCTTGGGTTGTGTTTTGATGCAAGAAAGGAAAGTAATTCCTTATGCCTCTCGAAAGTTGAAATCGCATGAGTTGAATTATCCCACTCACGATCTTGAACTTGCTGCCATTGTTTTTGCCTTAAAAATTTGGAGGCATTACTTGTACGAAGAGAAGTGTCACATATTTACTGATCACAAGAGTTTAAAGTACTTGGGTACACAAAAGAGTTAAACTTGAGACAACGTAGAGGGCTTGAAATCATCAAAGATTATGATTGCGCGATTGATTATCATCCTGGTAAAGCCAATGTGGTTGCAGATGCGTTGAGTCGCAATTCCCTTGCAAGTTTAACTCTAAGTCCTTTGCCTTTGCTTCTTGATTTAAGAGCCATGAATATTTGCCTTTCATTTAATTCTAAGGTATCTATCATTGCTAATTTTCAAGTCAAGCCAGTCTTACTTGAGCAGGTCCAAGAAGCGCAGAAGTTAGATGTGAAGCTTGTGAAACGGGTTGAAGAAGTCGAAAATGGAAGAGAATTAGATTTTTCATTAAAGAAAGATGGTACCTTATTTTATAAAAATAGGTTGTGTGTTCCTAATGATGATGAATTGAGGAAGCAAATCTTGATTGAAGCACATAGTTCACCTTATGCAATTCATCCTGGAGGTACAAAAATGTATCGGACCATCAAGGAGCACTACTGGTGGAGTGGTATGAAGAAAAACATTGCAGAGTTTATTTCTAAATGCTTGGTATGTCAACAAATAAAAGATGAACATCAAGTCCCAGGTGGTTTACTGCAACCCTTGTATATACCTGAATGGAAATGGGAAAGGATGACGATGGACTTTGTTTCTGGACTTCCGCACACTCAAAGAAATCATGATGTAATTTGGGTCATTGTAGATAGACTAACTAAGAGTGCTCATTTCTTGGCAATAAGAATGGACTACTCACTGGAACTTTTGGCACAATTATACAATAATGAGATTGTGAGGCTGCATTGAATCCCTGTTACTATTGTGTCTGACAGAGATCCAAGGTTTGCATCCAGATTTTGGTCTAGCTTGCAAGAAGCTTTGGGTTCCAGGTTGAATTTTCGTACCGCTTTCCATCCACAAACAGACGGCCAGTCTGAGAGGGTAATACAAATCTTGGAGGATATGCTTCGAGCCTGCATTATCGAGTTTGAGGGTAGTTGGGACAAACACTTAGCCCTGATAGAATTTTCTTACAATAATAGCTACCAATCAAGTATAGGCATGCCTTCTTATGAAGCTTTATATGTGAGAAAATGTAGAACGCCTCTTTGTTGGAACGAGGTTGGTGAAAGAAAATTAGTGGTTCCTGAGCTTATGCAACGAACTGAAGATAAGGTGGAAATCATCAAGGATCGTTTGAAAATTTCATCAGATAGACAACAGTCCTATGCTGATCTTAAAAGGCATGAAATTGAGCATCA